GATGTTAGAAGCTGCAGGTACATTAGCTGGTCCACCCTGAAATATTACCTTTTTTTATTACTCATATGAAATATGCTATTTAATCGTGAGTCTGTCAAGCAGGTTTTGGTATTTCAGGATTTCCCCACTCAAAGAGACATGAGTTGTACTTGTACTAAAATAGCTTGCATTTCTTTCAGTTAGCACAGGTTTTGTATTTATTTTTGTATTTACAACAGCAAAATTGTTTGTGTGAGTGACAATGTCAGCTTCTGTTGTTGTTAAAATAACAATTGTAATATTCGACAACGCATATTGCACACAAAGTAGAAACTTTGCACTTTTTGAACGTACTTTTTTCTTGAAAATGTCCTCCAAACTCCACTGCACCTTTTCTTTAAATAACAACAGGTTTTATTGGCTGGAGACACTTGAATGAACTGGCACTGTGGAAATAAATAAAAACATAATTTGGAAACATACTTACCAACATCAGAGTTTCTACCAGTTTATCGCCACGTACTCCACATTTAATCTTCTGCAGTCTGTGCAGTGTGTAGTAATGGTAAAACAACAAAACCGTCTCGGAGAGGCAACCTAACATACTTCTCAATATTGCCATCAAACTCTGAGATTTGCAAGTCTTCAGAGAGTTCCCTCACAACAAAAATTCCCAAGTCACATGAATTCATTGGATAATCAAAAAAAGAGCTTCTATGTCTATACTCCTTGTACACCAAAAATGTCTTTCCTCCACTCAAAATAATGTTCACAACAATGGCAACACAGTTCTGTATTTTCACACAATTGTCTCCATCTGTTGTTTTGATGACTAAACCACCAAGAATGACCTCATGAAACTGATGAACTGATTTTGAAAACATCAGTGGAACAGGGCCACCGTTGTGTTCACGTCTGAGGCTATTGATGCTCTCCTGTCTTGTATTGCCCTGGGCATTTATTTCTGATAGTCTCCGAATGACTTGAGCCAAAGGATTGCAAGTTCTTCTCACAAGCTTTTTAAGAGAGCCCAAATAATTTTCAAATGGAAAAGCAGAAAATTCATCTAAATTCCCATGCTGCTTTACATCCTCAGAGAGGTGCACTAATCCATGCACATTGTAACACACAAATTCCTGCCCATATAACACACTGAAATGTTCAACAAAAGATACTAGACATGTGTAAGCAAAGTCGTTAAATACAAAGCAGAATTTCCGACTGAGAAGAATATGAATTGCAACTGATAAAAGCATAAAATGACTGTACACTAGTGGTGGAAATTTTGATTCTTTCAAGAGATTCACTCATTTTCAGTTTGTTCACCAAAATGATTCGTTCAGATTCGTTCACTGATTCGTTCAGTGACCATTTATTCATATTACATAAATACGCCAGCAGGTGGCGAAAAAGTCTTATGTGTTATGTCCATAGACTGTATAAAAACATGGACGTAGTGTCCGTGATGTCACCCGTAGATTTCCGAAGAGCGTTTTTGAAGCTCAAAGTGGGTGGAGCTGGCCGTCGCCATCTTGGCAGCGCGTCACTCCTGGATAATCGGAAATGAGCAAAGAGGCGGGAGCAGGTTGCTGAAACCACGCCCACCTTGCTCGACGGTGGTGACAGCAGCGGCAATCCACCTGTCACTCAAGTGGCCACTTAAGTTACTTCCGTGTTGGCTTCAAGAGAGAGAGCGGGAGGTTGCCGCTTGGTTATGTCTTAAGTCAATGAACATATTTACTTGTGACAAAAAACTGATTTGGCTTTAATGAAATGTGTGCATAATCTACTTATTAAATAAATAAAATATAAATAAGTTGTTCAGATGACCAAAGCACAAGGTTTTCTTGCATAATTAACATTTTAATTGTTTGCTCAGACATTTACACATTCATAAATTCGATACCAGCATGGCGCGGCAAATGGCAGCAAGGACGCTGAGCTCCGCGATTCTTCTATTGTTTTTGTTTGTTTGTTCTGTGTGATTAAACGTGGAGTTATGTTCTGTATGCTAAATATGAATATATAAAAAAGCGTATGTGCACAGTACCTATAACTGTGCTTTGCATCCGCCTTCTGCTGATTGCTGATCGAGGTTGACATGCTAAATGGCCGACTGACCCGGTTACACTCTCATTCATTTCGTTCACGAACGAGATATGTAGAAGTTCATTCAATTCGTTCACGAACTACATGTACCAGTTCGGTCATTTCGTTCACAAAAGAGAAGATCTCTCGATCTTGTTCAGACTCAAATGAAACTCGTTCAGCGAAGGGCGTATTCGTTCACTACATTCAACAAATCACATGCTCCGTCACATCTCATACTCGAAGGCTACTGGCTCGAGGTTTAGTCATTCTTTGACAGGATGAAACAGTTCACAGAGCCACCCGGTTCACTGAGCTGTGCATGCGCTGCTAATAGTGCCGCGCTGCTGTGGAGGGAGGAATTTCAGTGAACGAGAAATATGAGTCAATGGATTACGTGAACGAGAACGATTCGTTCACCTAAAAGGTTTGTTCAATAAGAATGATTCGTTCACGTTGTACACTGGTGAGGCCAGTACATTACAAAGGACCACTGGACCAGTGTATAACAAGAACTGCCCGAGTTCTGTAGCTTTCCACCTCAGTCTATGGGCTAGTGGTCTTGGTTTATGTGCAAAGTCAGAAGGAATGTTAAATCTCAACCCTTCAAGAGAATCTGAGATTACCTGACACAGCCGGAAAGATAAACGAACGCAGAGCGGCCCTGAACTCACCCAAAAATCTAAAAGTCTCCGCATTACGCGAAGACAAACCAGGTGCATGTAGTCATGCAGAAAACCACCAACCATGTCAATGTTTGTTTCTATTAGAGGAGATGTTGCAACATGATGGTATTAATCTAGCATCTGTTGGAAAGAGAGGTCTGTCCTAAGTGGGGCGTTCATTTCAGGAAAGGTCATTCGGTGCTTGAGATACAAGCCAGTTTGAGTACATTTGCCACAGGCAGAGTGGCCAGTGTGACTCTTGATGGCTTTGATAAAAGCCCTGGCAGGAGCATCACATACACTAGAACTAACTTTTACAAAGAACTGTTTGCCTTTAAAGCCAAAACCACTGCTCGGTGTTTTCAATTCACTTACAAGATCTTTCAAATATTCATTCAAAGATTTTGATTTAGAGCTACCACAGAACAGTCCAATCACAAAGGGCCTCTTTACTTTATAGTCTTGAAGAATGCCAAGTATTGGCCAAAACTGTACCGAGGTGCTATTAACCCTCTAACCGCCAAAGTCGCAAAATTGCAACAAGACGTCATACTTAATCAAATAGACTGTAGTTCCTAATATGGTGTAATATCTCATTTGTATTCCCTACCACTAGATGGCAGACATGTAGTACTTCGATTCTAGACCAAAATTACGTCACGTTCCTATTCAAAGTGTTCGAGGAAACAGCAGAGCAAGTGAGCTATCGTGTCATTGATCCGCGGAAGCAGTTCAGTTCAGAGCGTGCGAGTAAATTGTGAGATTTGTGAGAGAAAATCGCCAAATGGCTAATAAAAAGTTGTACCGTGAGGATGTTTTGCAAATTTTATTCGCCAATTCTGACTCTGAAGGGGAATATTTGCCTTTTGGAAATGATGATCGGTCGTCTAATAATGGCGCTTCTCCCAGTATATCTTTGCAGCGCAATGGTGCCGCCGTGCAAGCCGCGAGTGTTCACGAAGCACAAACAAGTGATCATTTAATCTCATCCGTTTAAATTATATTAAGCCTTAAAATTCTGCATAATTAAGGGCGTGGCCACGAGTGACAGGTGGATTGCCGCTGCTGTCACCACCGTCGAGCTAGGTGGGCGTGGTTTCAACAACCTGCTCCCGCCTCTTTGCTCATTTTCGATTATCCGGGAGTGATGCGCGGTGACGCGATGCCAAGATGGCGACGGCCGGCTCCGCCCACTTTTGAGCTTCAAAAACTCTCTTCGGAACCCTACGGGTGACATCACGGGCACTACGTCCATGTTTTTATACAGTCTATGGTTGTAACACTGCGTTACAATGTGCTATTCTATGACATTAGCGATGTAATTGACACTATTTACTTTAATGAATTTTAATGAGAAACAACGAGAAATAGGTGAATAAAGACTGACAGTCAATGTTTAATGTTTAGAAATGATCATTTCAAGACATGTAAAGCATTTTTGCTCGTTTATGTGGGGCGTCCCAGGCATGACTGCAACGTGTTCATCGTCAAAATCCAAAATGAGATTGTTTTTAATTAATTTATTTCTTTTAATTTATGTATTTGATTCTTAAAAAACGCCATTATTTTATTTGAAAAAAATAATTATTTTATTAACAAAATATTTTAGTTTGTCTTGCATATTTTTTTCATTTGATCAGATAACATTTTAAGCTGTCATATCCTCCTGAGACCCAGCTATGGAGTTTTTGTCTCTGTAGTGGACATTATAATTTAGTGAATTTCTCTGAGACCTTACATGTCACAGTTTTAAGTCTGGAGGCCTGTGCAGAGCACATTCAGGGCTTTCCAGAGATACCAAATGATTGGATGTTTCACCATGGCCACTCCCTCTCCTTGGTTTTTAAAAATGGCTGACATTAATTTAGTGATACAATTGTACATCCTTATGGAAATATGATAATATTTTGTAATTACAATTTAAATCTGATTAATTTTCAAATTGTTTGTCATAAATCAACATCTCCACTGTAATCATGAAACAAAGCGACATATTTGTACTAGACACGTGTAAAATTACTGCGGATAAAAAATATATATATTCTAAACCCCATGTGGATTTACACAAACTGAGAAAGTCAAAAAGTGTTACTTTGTGCCCCGCTCTCCCCTACCTCTGTGAATAAATATGTTACTTTGTGCCCCGCTCTCCCCTACTTATTGAAATGAAGTACCTACTCGTTGAGTATGCCATTTCGGACGCAGCCGTCGTGATTTTAGCGAAAAAAGACTTCTATTTTGGTCTGGCGATGTGACGTCATAAGGCTGCGCTCCCGCGTCTGTGATTCGGCTGAAGAAAGGTGAGTGCTTTCAATAGTTTGAAGTGTTTCAATCAACTAAACTCGTTTAGAAAATTGTGTATAAAACTGTGAAATTAATTATTAACCAGTGAAACATTGTGACGCTTTATCTAGTGATATTAATGAGTATTTTATGAGTGTAAAGCGCTCTCGCAAACGGTGCGTCTCATTTTGCTCCATATGTTGTGATTGTGACTCAGTTTTATTTTAAACACGAGCTCGGCTACTGACTAGTAGTGCTGGAGAAACGGAGCTTTAGAAACTCCGAGTCAATTGAATCAATCGCGAAGTGATTCGCTGTTTTGAATCGCCGCGTGCTGACGACATCTGCTGCTCAAAACTGTAAATGCAACAACTATTTATTAAAAAAAAAAAAATTAAACTATTCAACTATTGTGATTTGAATTGGTTCTTTTTGTGTTTCTGTTTTATTGTAGCGCTTTGGGTTTAAGAAAAGCACAATACAAATACAATTCATTCTCATCATTAACTAGAACAACAAACACAAATGTGTGTAATGAGAACATTTACAAACCCAACTGCAAGTGTTTTCATGAAAGTGTAATCTACAAACAATTGAATACCAGATAAATCATAAACAATACTGTGTAATTTGTAAATATATTTTTAATCAGGTAATTTAAGTCCATTAACTCTCACTCTGGGCTGCATTTCCCAAAAGTACCGTATTGACCCGAATATAAGACGATGTTTTTTTCTTGGAAATACATCTGAAAAACCGCGGTCGTCTTATATTCAGGGTCTAGACTTTGACATGTCAATAATACACCCACAACAATAGGTGGCGCCAAATACGCATAAAACGAGTGTGCCATGAAATACGTAATGTAATGCGTGTTGTAAAAGATCGCGAGTAAAAACAAAAGAAAAGCTTACAGCTGCATGAGTCGTAACTGTCACGTTAGCCGGATGGGACCAAACTCCCTTTGTGATTTTAAAACGTAAGACAGTACCCAGATTTGAAGACTACAGTAAGATTTAACTTCTACTGTTAGATCTACTCCTATATTAGATGGATAGCCTAAATGTCCTACTTCAGATGGGCTACCTGTTTTTTTTTTTTTATGGTATATCAAAAAGTGTATATTTTTAAAAAAAATATGCAATATGAAAATAATTGAAGACAAAATGTGTTTTACTGAGAAAAAACAAGATTTGGTTTTTAAAAAGCCTTTTTCCAAAAGGTACATCTGGGAAAGGGGGGGTCGTCTTATATTCGGGCCAATACGGTATTGTAAGCCTAAGTTGACCAAGTCGCCCGCCAAGCATGTTCTATAAATAGCCTGAACTAGCGCTGGGCGATAAATGATATCATGATAAAAATGTATGTTAATAATGATGATAAGCTCTGAACATTTTTACTCAATATGGATTAATCTAACATCCTATCACACAACAGAAATCAATGTTACAGCAGCCAGTCAGTGCATGTCGCTAGCAAGTCTGCATATTCTGTGTGTCTCTGTGTGAATGGATCATGGAATAGTTTCATCTGATACACAAACTCAAACACACGTGACTCGCTGTGTTTTCAGCATCTGTGTCTTAAAGAGGTCCTATTATGCTCTTTTACAAAGTCTTGATTTTGTTTTGGGGGTGTACTAGAACATGCTCTCATGCTTGGTGGTTCGAATTCAGCTTTATGTAGTTTCATTTGAGAAAAATTACTGTCAAATACACGCTAAAACTAAAACTGAAAGACCTTCACGACAATCCATCAAAATAAAAGTCTGGTTTAACTTGAAATTATAACTGAATATATTACTACGGTATACTAAAATGCAATTCTCAAAGTAATAATAATAATAATATTTTTAGGGAATATCATACAACCAAGTTATTTATTATTATTAATTTATACAGTTCTGTTGTGCAGTATCTTATCTGATTAAATGAAAATGCAATGTTTTGTTGTTAATTAATTTTTGATTACATTTTAAAAGATTGATTAAATTGTTAAAGTTTTATTAATTCACACATTTGTACTGAATCATAAAACACAGAATCCATAATAAATCAAATGGAAAACTAAAAATAAAAAATGCATTTCATGGGGCCCTAAATTAAAACGTAGCTCCTCTGTGGAATTTCATTGTGAACAAAGTTATGTTTAGCTTCATTCTCAAGGTCTAACAAACATGTGGAAAGCATTTTCTTCCCCATAAAATGGTA